AAATTTGCAGACATTACCCTCAGTAATATTTTTACTGATATATCCCCTTGGGCAAGGGAAATAAAAGAAAAAAATAAACATATGTGATTACATCAAACTTAAAAGTTTTTTCACAGCAAAGGAAATCATCAATAAAACAAAAAGGTAGCCTACTGAATGGGAGAAGATATTTGGCAATGATATATCTGACAAGGAGTTAGTATCCAAAATTTATAAAACATTCAACTCAACATCAAAAAAAGAAGCCAATTAAAACATGGCAGAGGGTATGAAGAGGCATTTCTCTAAATAGGACATATACATGACCAACAGGCATATGAAATAATGTTCAACCTCACTAATCATTAGAGAAATGCAAATAAAAACCACAATGAGATACCACCTCACTTCGGTCAGAATGGCTATCGTCAATAAACAAACAACAAGTGCTGGCGAGGCTGTGGAGAAAAGGGAACCCTGGTGCACTGTGGGTGGGATTGCAGATTGGTGCAGCCATTATGGAAATCAGTATGGAGGTATCTCAAAAAACTGGAATGGAACTACCTTATGACCCAGCAGTTCCACTCTTGAGTGTCTATCCAGAGAAACTCAAGACACTAATTCAAATAAATATATGCACACCTGTGTTTATTGCAGGGCTATTTACAATAGCCAAGACTTGGAAACAACCAAAATGCCCATCGGAAGACCACTGGATTAAGAAACTGTGGTACATTTATATGATGGAGTATTGCTTCGCTATAAAGAAGAATGAAATCGTTCCATTTGCAACGATATGGATGGACCTAGAGACTGTTATATTAAGTGAAATAAGTTAGTCTGAGAAAAACAAATACCATATGATCTCACTTATATGTGGAATCTGAAAAACTGAATGAATGAGCATCGTAAACAGAAATAGTCTCAGAGATATAGAGGAACAACTGATGGTTGTTGGTTGGGAGTGGGGTGGGGATGAGGGAGAAGGGGAAAGGATTAGACAGTATAAATAGGTAACTACAATATTGCCACAGGGATATGAAAGACAGTTCGAGGAATATAATAATGTTGTAAATATTTTGTGGAGTGTCAGATGATCTTGTTAGGGAGACTGCTTCCTGGGTGGGGTAGAGGCTTGATCACTGCACTGTACACCTGAAGCTGATGTTGTATAAAATATTGTATGTCAACTATAAGTGAATATATATAGAGTAACGGGACGTGGAGTATAGTGTGGGAGTGGAGTCAAGGGAATTGTAATAGATATGTATGATATGGGCGGGGAGAGTGGGGTTGCAGATTGGGGGCGGGGTTTGTCATTTTGAGGGGTAAAAAGTATAACTATTGCACTGTGTTGTACAGCTGAAACTAATTTTTAAAAAATGTTTATTTCACACACAAAAATAATATGTGGATTTTCAACTACACATGGGTCGGCACCACTATACCTGCAGTATTCAAGAGTTAACTGTATAGATCCTCATAGCTATAAATTTCCCTCCCCTCTAAACACTCTGTGCTTCATACTATAAGTTTTGGTATGTTGTGCCTTCACTTTTGGTCATCAAAGAATATTTTCAATTTCCTTCGTAACTATATCTTTGATCAATTAGTTATTGAGGAGACTGCTGTTTAATTTTTAAATATTTGTTAATTTCCCAAATTTCTTTCTATTACTGATTTTATTCTATTGGGGTCAGAAAAGATACTCTATTATTTCTACACTTTTAAATTTATTGAAGTTTGTTTTGTGGCCTAAACGGCATATCTTGGTGACTATTATATGTGCATTTTGGAAGAATCTGAATTGTGCTCCTGTTGGGTGTAGTTTGCTGTATGTATTACATGTCTGTTAAGTTTAGTTGGCTGATATTAATAATTCTGTTCAAATCCTCTATTTTGTACCTACTTACTCTCTCCATTATTGAAAATGTAACAGTGAAGTCTCCAACTATTGTTTAATTGCCTGTTTTTCCTTTCACTTGCCAATTTTAACTTCATGTATTGTTTGGCTCAATTGTTGGATGTGTATATGTTTATAATTGTTGGATGTGTTATATTGTCTTGATGGATTTACCCTTTTGTCATTATAAATGTCTTTTTATCTCTAATAACACTTTTTAATTTAAAGCATATTTTGTTTGGTATTAGCATAGCTTTCTTATGGTTGCTGTTTGTATGAAGTATCTTTTTCCATCCTCTTACTTTCAACATCTTTGCATCTTTGAATTTAATGTGTATCTCCTTAGACAGCATATAGTTGGATGTCTTTGGACTTGGTTAGTTTGTTTTTAATCTTGTCCGAAAATCTCTGCTGTTTGTCTGGGTTGTTCAGTTTTTTCATATTTAATGGGATTTATATAGTTTGATATTTGTCTGCCATTTTGTTTTCTACGTGTGTCATGTATTTTTCTCTTCTATTTCTTGGCTATTTTGTCATATGTGAATATTTTTTAATGTAACATTTTAGTTTCTTTAATGTTTTTTCCCACACATTTTTAGAGCTTATTTCATTAGTTGTTCCTTTATAGAGTTTACCACATACACCTGCACTTACCAGAACCTACATTAAATTTATCTTCACTTAATTTTAGAGATGTATAGACAGGTTACTCTTATGTAGGTTTATTCTTTCTCCCCTCCCCTCTCCCCCACCACCCCCACCTTCTGCCGCTTATGGTATTGTTATACAGTAATGCCTTGGTTTGCAAGCATAAGTTCCGGAAACAAACTACTCGTGTTTCAAGATATTGTTTACCATGTTAAAATTGTAGTATTAGAAATGTTTGCTTGTCTTGTGGAACACTCGCAAACCAAGTTACACAGCAATCCAAGATTTTACTGTTTGTTAATTTGTTACATATGTTACTTTATTGTAAATTTTTGTTTCTCTTCATTTACTCTTTGTTACTGTGCATTTGACTGTATCATTTGGTATTATTTCCTTAGTCTAGTGTAACTTGCCTCCCACCTACCTTTTTTATGGTTTTATTGGAAATAAAATACATCTGTGTGTGTTAGAAACCAAACATTGCACCCATGAACTCATTGTTTTATACAGTTCCTTTTTACATCAGTCAAGAGAGCTTTCTTTAGTGTATCCTGTAAGGTGAGTCTGCTAGCACAAACATCTCTCAATTTTTGTTCATCTGGAAGTATTTTTATTTGGCCTTTATCTTTGAAAGATCATTTTTCTGGATTCTTGGCTGATAGTACTTTTCTTTGAGTAGTTTGAGTATATCACCCCGCTGCCTCCTGCCCTGTATTGTTTCTGATGAGGAATCTTACTGAGGATCCCTTGACTCTCCACTCGGGAAACACAAACTTCTCACTTCTGTGTGATTTTGGTGATCGTTCGCTCTACTTTTTTTCTGGTAATTCCCAACCCCTAGGTACTTTGTTCGCATGTGTCCACAAATTAGGGACCCTCTTGTAGATCTCCATGGCTCTCTTTTTCACTGTAGCTAATAAACGTGGAACTTTATTAGAATTTAATGTTATTTAGGTTTGTGATTTAGAGGTTTAAGGAGATCTCTTTTGAGCATCTGAAAATATGTTTGTTTTTCACCTCTCCAAAGAAGGGGTCAAGTGAGTATCATTTCAGTGCCACTCTTAAAGCTGCACCTTTCTTCACATTCAGAATCATCAAAGCCCTTGCAGTGAACCCATATCCTAATCTATTTTCCATTTACAGGGTATTGTTCTATAAAACCAGAAGTGATCTTGAAGTTGGAACTAGAAGACCCATTATTGTTAGAGAACAAATTTCTAAATGGGAGTTATCCAGGTGAGTTTTAGAAAATGAGTAGAGAGTATTCTTTGAACATTCAATCCAAAATGGGATCAGTTAAACAATAGGCACCTTTGGAAGTTTGGAAATAAGTAGATCTAATAAAATATGGGTATGGAGATTGTAACATAAGGGGTACAATATCATCGTTTTCAATTTTTCAATTAGGCAACACAGTATATCATTTATACCTGACAAATCAATAATCAATTTATATTTAACCACTATAAAGTTGAATATAGAGGAAGATTATAATAGCAACTAAAATGGAAGTTTAAAGCAAGGGAAAACAAAGAGAAGTGATATGCTAATTTGATCAGTGGTTGTGCAGTTGGAAAAACTAGGTACTGCCTAATTAATAAGTAATTAAGAATTATGTAAAATTTATAAATGAGAAATTTACTATAAATGTGCTACTGTAAATGTGAAAATACCTTTCTCATTATTAGGAGTAAAAACACTGTTAATACAAAGAAAACAGACCTATCACTGAAAAGGGTCTTTATTTTAAAAAGAACTACGTGAACATTAATATATAAATCGCATATGATAAAGTAAGATAGATGTAAATGTCATATCTGTGTCAATGGGTTTAAGTCACTTATTCAGAGAAAATGGTCTTATGACAGACATACCTGAAAATAATTTTCAATGTTTAAAATATGAAATGCTTAATATTTAGACAATATGTTGGGTTGTTGGAAAAGTCATGACGCATTTTTTGTAAAGAAAAATGTAGAAAAAATATGTCATGACTTTTCCGACAACCTAATACATAAAATCATTAAGGCTTAATTTATATAACTATTGCACAAGGTTTTGATCCACATTATGATTCATACAGTGTTAAAAAGGACACTTTAATAAAGCTAAAGAAGATAATTTAAAAAGGAGTTGCAGAGGCTGCAGATACCTTTTGCCAATTAAATTATGAAAATGCGTTGAAAACTGCGAGAGATAGCAGAAGAAATAGTAAGCATTAGATATAATTGACCTATATATTCTACTCTGATTTCATACCAGATATGGTGGACAACACTGAGATTCTAGAACCTGAGTTGGTAAATTATGTTCCTTGATCTAAATCCAGCTAGTTACCTGTGTGTGTAAATAACAATCTTTTTGGAATATAGTCATCTGATTGCATATTGGTTATGGCTTGTTTTGTGGTACAACTAAATGGCTGAATAGTTGTGCCTGAGATCATATGACCTGCAATAACTAAAATATTAACCATCAGACCCTGTACATAAGTTTGTTGACCCCTGCTCTAGATATTAATAGCATATTTTATGAGATGAGGCTAATACATATTGATAAGGGTTTTTTCAGCTCTGTACTCTGAATATATCGTATTCACCTCTGAAGGGTTAATGGGGTAACAAAACATAAATATATTTTGGTTTGAAAGGAAACTTCTTTTAAGTTTACAAAGTTAAAGTGACATAATTCAATAAACCTAGAAATTATAGACAATATGAGAAAAAAATACCCCATCTGTAAATTAAAAATACATATATAGTTTTGAAAAAACTAAATGAAGGGGTGCATCAAAATTATAGTTATAAAAGATAAAACGTATTTGTGAACCTGTGCCCAGAGGTCCCTAGGAGCTCAGTAAAGATGGTATATAAAAGCTTAGTTTATTATAGCAAAAGATAACATCAGCCAAGGTAAAAGTCACGGAGGGCAGAATTCAAGAGAGACTGATGCAAATGTCTTATTTTCTTCTCTCAGTGGAGTTGTGTGGAAAGTGCCTAATTCTGCCAGCAGTATGATAGCACACATGAAATATTGCGAAGCAGAGAAATTTACCCGACCTTTGGCATCCAAGGTCTTTATTGGCGGTCGGTCATGTAGCGCTGGAGCACCTCTGTGACTGACCTTATTTACTCAGGATGTAGCCCCTCCAGTGTGGCCCAAGGCTCCAACCATAAATCCCAGTGTTAGCCTGAACTCTCTGGCTTGGCCCAAGCCCCCAGGTATGGAAAGACAATATTATCAGGTAGGATGTTCCATGGGCTTACAAGTTGTCCCCCAAGAGTTGGTCAGAGGGCAGTCATTTCTTTGGAATGTGCAGAAAAAACCCTAAACTGGCTGAGTTAACCCTTTCCTGCTTACAGCTTTTGGGGTATGGGTATAGCATCGTTTAATGGAAAGTTTGAAGAACAAGGAATTTTGAGAAGCCTTAATGAAAACAGAAGTAATTCACTAAAAAATATTTATGTATATATGGATTAATTGGAAAGCTGTAAATTAAATAAAATGCGTACAGTAGCTATCCTATGCTGGAAAAGCATTGTATAAGAAGTCACAATGCAAGGATACTTAGAAATACAACTAGAAATTTTCAAAAACTGAGCAACATGAAATAAAACTGAACTAAATGTATATATCATGTTCATAGATTGGAATATGACTTTAAAATTCTGAATTCTCACCCATGTGTATAAACATACTTGAAGAATGGGATGGTGTAGGATCTTTTCTAACAGGTACTAAAGATACATTGTAAATCTGTTGTAACTGGTACAGAATGGTACTGGCATGGGGATAATTATAGATCTTTGAAACAGAGTAGAAAGCCCAGAAACAAATGCATGCTCTACTGACAGCTGGTTTATAAACAGGATGACAGTGTAGAAAGTTGCAAAAGCCATTTATATGAAAACTGGCATTGTGCCCCAATTTATTTATTTATTTATTTAAAGATTTTATTGGGGAATTGGGAGAGGGGAACGGTGTTGGGGAGTCGGGGAAGGGGAACAGACAAGTTGCTGTCCTTTTGTTCTTCAGCCTAGTTGTGGAGGACGTTGCTTTACTGGCCCATGTTGGTATTATCATTGCGCTCTTCCCGGGTGAGGCAGATCGGCCGCCGGCCTCTGGACAGCCACTCATGGCATCTCTTGGCAGCTCACGCTGGCTGCCAGCCACTCACGGTAGCTTATGGCAGCCCACTACAGCAGGGGCTGCAGCCTACGCTGTCACTGGCCCTCATGTGGGATCCGAACCGGGGCCCTGCTGCTCAGAGCTGGCGTCCCAAGCCAGCTCTTAACCAACGCGCCACTCGGCCATCCCAACATTGTGCCCCAATTTAAACCCTACCACAAAACTCAATTTTCGGTGGATTTATGCAGAAGAGATTTGTGTGTATTTATTTTGGTTTCCATGTTCTAACAGCTAGGAAGGGACAGAGTAATGAGTGGGAGGTACTTGGTACATACATTCCTCCCAAATGTGTTGTTTCTATGAAGAATTCTGATTCTGTCATCACTCTCTAAGTATCGCCTTCCATGA